ATGGCAGGCCACTGCCACATGTTGGATTCCAAGATGCTGGAGCAGAGCTGGGACAACATCTGGCACAAGGTAGGATTAGCACCGCTGATCCGCCCATTGGCTCGATTGGAACCACCAATCGTGATCTGGCGAAGAGGGAGAAGACGACATACCAGCCCAGACATGCATCCTCATGTCATCCTTCACCTGCGTCGTGCCGCCAAAGCCCGGCCGGTCTGGGTCGATGATGCGGACTCTGTGCTGTTTGGCGAGCGAGTCTAATCCAACATGCAGCAGGCGCGACGACATGAGAGGTGCGAAGAACAAAAGCACATTCTCCTCCTCGGGGTTCTCTTCGTTGCGATAGCCAAAGTCTGCGTATGTGACCTCAAGGGGCTCAAATCGGTCCCGAGAGGGATCTGGTGGGAGCGTGAATGATTGGCGGAAACGCGGATCCTCGAGGTACTGGTCCAACGCGGCCTTGTCTGTTGATAGGCCTGCCATTGCTGCCGCTCCTCTTCTTCAGTCGGTGATGTATCGCTCAAGGGGACGTAGAGAGTCTGGTTTGGATTGAGGGATTGAGACAAATTTGGCACCATGTCGGCCCATCTCGCGATTGAGACTTTATTGAGATGGACACTCACCGCCCCCTGCCAATCCTTCAGCCTCCCGATGGCAACGTTTCCATGCAAGAGCCATATTCACTTCGCACGATTGGAGACTCTCACGTGACAGTCAAGCGGTTCGTTCTTGACTTTCTTTCATTTATTTTATTTCATAGCCGCATGTCTATAGTCTAATAGAACGCGCAAATGTCTGCCCAACATACACCCATTCATCCTTCATCATCACGTTCATCTCGTAACCATTTATGGTGTGCATCTGCCCATGAAACGGGGGTATAAGCATGCCTCACGGACTGTCCAGAGCTTCAGCAGCCAGGCCAAGAAACTACAGCACCCAATGTTAGAGCCAAGTCAATCACGAGAGAGTAGGGTCGACATACCGTTCTCCACCAAGGCCGTAGCCACCGTGGGGCGTAGAGCCGTACTTGCGCTGGTCAGTGTACCAGAAGTAGCCCGTGGGATCAATGCCCTCGCGCTTGTAGCCCGCCATGAGCTCCTCGTAGTCCCAGATTCTCATGCTGCCACCAACAATCTCGCCGACACCGGGCATCAAGCAGTCGACCGACTCGGTCACACGCTTGTCGTCCTCGGCCTTTTGCATGTAGAAGGACTTGATCTCGGTAGGAAAGTGGGTGAGGAAGATGGGGCGGTTGATCTCGTCAGTCATCTTGCGCTCAGCGGCCTCGGCACTAGAAATCAGGTCAAGTCAGTCTCGCGCTTCAAGATAGACCCCAAACCAAGGATAATCCTCAAATTAAACTTACATATCATCTCCAAAGGTGTGGTCGTTGCCCTCTTCGTTCTTGATACCCTTCTCGCGCAGCCACTCAATCGCATCAGCATAGCGCATGCGCATGAACGGACGAGCAGGCTTGACGAAATCGGGATTGTACTTCTTAATCGCCTCGGCGGCAACGGGGTCTTCAAGTGTCAGGTCAATAACCCGGCAGATGACGTGCTCGAGGTGGCCCAGGAGATCGTCAAAGGTAATAAAGTCGAGCTCGGCTTCGATGTGGGTGTATTCGGAAAGCTACAGACCGGACAATTAGCAAGTTACTCCTCTCTCTCAAGACTAGGGGTGGCCACAGCGGCGTAGAGATTGCACTCACATGGCGACGGGTAAGGGACTTCTCGGCTCGGAAAGACTTCTCGATACAGTACACATCACCAAGAACAGGGAGAACAGTCTCCAGGTACAGCTGACTCGACTGGGTCAGGTAGGAGGTCTCGCCGTAGTAGTCGAACTTGAACAGGGTAGCACCTCCCTCCACCTGAGTCTGGACAAGGGCCGGTGGGCTGACCTTCCTGCAGTTGAGTTCCTTGTATACAGTATGGAAAGCAGATTCGACAACGTCGCGGACGAACATGATGGCGGCGGGCTTCTCGTGGCGCAGAGTAAGGTGGCGCAGGTTGAGGAGTGTCTGGGTATCGCCATCGACGGGGACCTGGTTGGTAAAGGCGTCGTCTCCTCCGGGAGCGGCAGCGATGATTCGGAAGTAGTCGGCGTGAAGCTCGCGGTCGAGAGGTGCATGAGCATGGCTAGGGACCTCCCAGAGCTCACCAATGATCTCGATTGCCGTCTCTCGGTTGAGGGTCAGGGCGTCGTAGGTCTTGGAGAGCTGTCCGGACAGCAGACACTGCATGAGGCTCAGGCCACGGCGGATAGTGACGAAGATGAGACCACCCTGCTTGGCCACGCGGTTGACGCGGCCCTGAACGCTGACACGGACAACGCCCTCACTGGGCTCGTCTTTGCTCTTTCGCAGGGTTCCGATCTTGGCGGGGTCGGTCTCGTCGAGGAGGATCGATACGGGCTTGGGAAGGGCAGGGTCGTCGGTGATCTTGATGTTCTTAGCCTCCTCGAGAACAGCAGCACGTGCAGCCTCCTCCTGGGCCTCCTTCTCGGCTCGCTTGGCGGCAGCTTCGAGTTTCTTCTTCTGCTGGGCGACGTAGTTGACGGCCTTCTTCAGGGCAGCCTTGGCCGCGGGCTTGAACTCCTCTTCGCCGGCCTTCTTGACCTGGTACTCGAGCTCGGCGCCATGTCGGTAGAAGGCCTCTGGCAGACTCTTGAATGGAGCAGCCTCTGTGCCGGCAGTGTCTTGGGCATCAATGCCCTTCTCCTCGTCAACGTAAATCACAGCCATGGTGGGAGGGGAGCAGCTGGTCGAACGCGGTTGGGTGGTGGGGGTGTTGACATTCAGAATTTCTGGCAGTCCAGGCCGTGGAGGGGTTTTTCAACCCCGCGATAAAGAGCAGGTGCGATCGGGCCCCGTCGCTATGACTGATTGGCATTGACTCATACTGCCACCCAAAACGCACACCCCCTCGGCAATCATTGCTGGCTGATTGGGCGCTGCCTTTTGGAAAGATAAGAATTAATTTATCTTAATTTCGTTTGAGACAGGGACCCAACACTAACAACCTCCCTGATACGAGTCGCATCTCTTTCCAATTGCCGTGGGCAGACCCTTATCTCCATCCACCCATCGTCTCATTGACCAACTACCCTGTAGCTAGGTAATTTACAGACGAGAATTCCTTGATCATGGCACCATTCTGCCCATTCAATCAAGACAGGCAATAATATATATATTGATTGATAATTTTGATAATATCTCTTTTTAAACTTGGTCATATATAATGTTCTTGATATTGTCCCTCATGTCATAACAACAGGCTTAATGGTGCCGTCCTCCTTAAAGTAGAAGCGATCAATCGCAATGACACGATGGTCTGCCACACTGTCACCAATGATGCGACGATGATACACAATATAGTACTCCCCATCATGATCCTTAAACACAGAGTGGTGGCCAGGCCCATCCGCCACATCACTCAAGGAGAGGATCAACCCAATCCGCTCAAATGGCCCCGTGAGCGAGTCAGACATGGCGTACGCGACCCGATAGCTCGGCTCCCCGTAGGGCCCCTCGGACCACATGAAGTAGTACTTGCCCTCGTGCTTCAGCATAAACGATCCCTCCCCGAACCCTTCGTTGGGCGTGATGTCCTTGGGGCCCGAGCCGTCCGCCCAGTCCTCGATCGACTTCATGTCCTCGCTCAGCGGCGAGATGCTCACGCGGCTGCCGCCCCAGATGAGGTAGTACGTGCCGTCGTCGTCGACGAAGACCTGCTGGTCCATGGCGTTGCCCCCGTTATAGTGCCTGTCGACAATCGGGCGATCGATGAGGTCGTTGAAGGGCCCGGCCGGCGTGTCTGCCACGGCGACGCCGATGCCCGCGGTGCCCTCGTTGGCGATGGGGTTGTTGGCGGTGTAGAAGAAGTAGTACTTGCCGTTGCGCTCGATCGTGCAGGGCGCCCAGAACCAACTCTCGGCCCAGTTGGAGTTGTCTGCTGTGAACACCTTGGGATGAGGTGTCCAGTGCACCAGGTCAGGGCTCGAGAAGGCATCGAAGTAGGTCTGGTCGTCGAACGAGATGGATATCGTCGCGTAGACCCAGTATTCGTCTCCGAACCTCAGGCCGTCTGGGTCGGCATACCACCCGTCTGCGATGGGGTTTTTCCACGGTTCGGTGATTTGATTCACATCAGTGGGAGCCCCCATAACCTGAGAGAACAGGAGGGGGATGACACTGAAGGCCGAGGCAAGGGAAGCAGCGACTCTTCCCATTTTATTTTCTTTGCGAAACGCAATGCAGTTGGTTGATTCTTCAGCTTCTCGAGAAACGGGACGTTGTCGCCTAGAATTGATTGAGAAGAGGTCTTGCAGCTGCAGCGCGGGGAATACCCCAGGATGCTCGCTCTATAAGAAGGCAATAAGAGACCGCACACGAAGATGACGTGGTTTACTTCCTGTGGCCCGCATCGAGGGTTTGAATCATTTTCTACTCGGGGAAACTCATTATGCGGGCGATGGTTACATGACGAGCAGTTCATGTGATGACCGGTCCAGAGCCAATGAGCAAGGGCAATGGATGTCTTGGCCGTGAGGATTGTTGCGGGGTGAAGGCTTCACGTCCATCCGCCCTGCCGATCTTGTGCTCGGATTGGCACTGGGGGAGACACATGAGCTGCTGATTTGGCCGTAAAATGGCCCGGCAGACCGCATTTCATGCAGCGTCCGGGGTTACATTGTAACATTACATGACCAACTGCCCCAGTCCCGTCTCTCGTGACGTCTTTTGGACTAAAGCACATCCAACTGCCCGTCGTGTGGCTAATATGTGTTGTATGGGTTTTCCTACTCGACGAACACCTCACACTCGCATGAATTGGGCCTGCCAAAATAGTCTTGATTTCTAACAAGGTAACTAGCATCACCCTTGACAATTCCCCTTCTCCTCACCAGATCCGTCTTGGTATCTGGTATCCCTCCAAGGTCACCTAGGTAAATTCCTCTGCAGTCTCCCAGCATAAGCATACTCGGGCGAGGCTTCATCCTCGAAACCCGCGCACCGCTCTCTTCCCCTTGCGCCTCGCCGGCTTGCGGGCAGGTCCACGTCCCCTGGCAGGCCTCTTTGGGGCCGGTTTCTTCCTTGGCCTGCCAACGGGCCTCTTCTTGTGTTTCTTCTGGCTATTCTTGTGCTTTATAATCTGCGAGACGCCCTTGCCAATACCCTTGGCGGCTAGACCAATGAGGCCAAAGAAGGGGTCGCGGGGGTCAAGGTCCGCGGGGAGGGCGGCAGAGTCAATGTCTCGTCTGGCACGGTTTCCCACGCCGGAGCGAGAATAACCAGTCTCTGTGGCGAGAGACTGCGCCGGGAAGTTGAGAAGGAGAAGGCCTGTGGCCACTGAGAGCTGTTTGAAGTTCACCATTGTGAATTGAATCGTGGTGTCGGGAGTTGCTGATGATTGAGAGACAAGTTACTCTAGTTTAGTAAAAGTAATGTATAAAGCAATGGAAGTTTTGATAGTGTCTTGATTGTGTCGAGTCTTCTTGAATGTCCAGGCGCACCGTGTCGGTTGGTTTATATACCTGACGAGCGTGGCTATTCATACCCCATTCCATCCTACAAAGATTTTCTTAGAAACACCGAGGCGTAGCTAAACATACGGCTTCTGCTTCAAGCCGTGTTGGAATAAGGCTGGCCGTGATCCAAAAGCCTGTACTCACGTACATTTCACCGGGTCGAAGTGGAACACCCACGGCTCCTACCGAGAGAGTTTAGAACGCATTGGCTATTTTTAATTGAAATGAGAGCAGTCTTCCCTGCAGGAAGATCTTTCTACTGTTGAGAGATCGTCAGGAACTGAAGAGGAAGAGATGAGTGGCTGACCTTGGCAAGCCTCGTGCTTGTCTCGGCCACTCACAGCGAAAGGCGGCTTACACGAAGCTTCAGTATGTTCAGAGGTTCTTCCCTTGTGGTGCACACAGAGTGCCATATTTAGAGACCTTTGATCCAATTGCCCGAGAGAATTCCCTTTCCGAATGGTTTCATGTCAGACGTGACCACCAACATGATAAGAGTTCAGACAGTCTCATCCACATCCACACGAACGACGGATGAACGTATGCATGACATGCAGATTGAATTATTCCCCGAGAGACTAGAACCCCACCTGTTGGCGACTTAGCTGCAAAAAGAGGAGCGGCCAAAGTCCCCATGGCCGTTCCCTCTACCCTCGCAGCTTGACTGTTTACAAGAGAGCAGCGGCGTTAAACAGGCCCACCATGTTTTTGGGACCATGTTTTTGGGACGACCACTTCCGCGCTTGTCTATTCATCCGCTTGAGAAAATATCGGCCGCGTGCGAAAGCAGGACGAGGCGCAGAGTTCGTGACCAGATCCTCTGCTATTATCTCCACTAGCTTGTCTTACATGCAAGAAAAGCATCATGTGTGTCGTCTCCTCAGCCTTCCGGAGACAAGTGAAAATGCAGTACAGGCGCGTATAAGTGATTGAAGGTCTAGACTGCTAAGCAGCGATGGTGGTCAGAAACGCCGGTATCTTTTGCATATGCCGACGAAGGAGCATGATGACTGCACCCATAGGACAAAGATGGGTTTCTTTGTATAGGTGAGACATTGCACATTGCAAAAGTCCAGCAGGCGGGTCGGCCATTAAGCAATTCATTGTCTGTAGGTACTATGGGACACTTGATGAGCCTGGATTTGTCTCATCCTTCCTTTGCAAGGCCAAACTCAATTAATTCAATTCGCCATTGCAAACCAGACCAGGCTAGGCGGGCACGTGTACTATGGCACCATTGATCTATCATTTCACTTCTCTCGAGTAGAGTTTGGATGGCGGTATGACTGGCAAGGCGCAATAAAGAATGAAACACTCACGGTCAAAAGATGATTAAAAGGGTGGCTGAAAGTGCAGAGGCCCAGAGGGAGAGGGCAGAGGGACCGGGGTAGTGACACCAGCCGGTAAGCATAGAAGATCAAGCATGGTGTATTGCACCTTAAAATCAAGATGTGACGATCTCCAGTGTGTTCTTGTCCTATTCAGGCGACAGACATGGCCTCCACCCTGCTTGCTAATTGCGTGCTTATGGTCTGGCATCGTATTGGCAAGGTGTATTGGGCAGACGCAATCATCGACGAGGATGGTTGAGCACAGGTGGTACTTTTGGCTCGTTATGACACCGACACTGACCGGGAGAGTTTGCCTCCCGTGTTTTTGCTACTCATCGCAGAACAGCAGGACTGGAATTGGACGGGAGAGGAGAAGTCAGTATTGGAGAAGAGAGGGGCAATAGTTGGAATGCAGAGGCATCCAATGTCCCCCATGGCCGATATTGCTCCCCTTCTGTTCCTACTCCGGCGGTTGCAATGTCGAAATACATCCGTTCCTACCTACCCGATCGGGGGCTACCAAGACCTTGGCCCGGCTGACGAGCGGATGAATGAGCAGACTGGCAGAGATTCGGACAGCCAAGCGCGAAATGGATCCATGGACTTTTGCTTTTTCCCTCGATGGACGCAGGGTTCTTTTGGACAGCGTGAGGGGAAGACGCAGGTACCTACAACAGAGGTGCTCTCCGTTTGTTTAGCGGTGTCTCTCAGTGGCTCGTGCCGTGGCTCTATCCCAACAAGGGAGCTGCAGTAGATGGGGCTAAGCCCGCTGTGGAAGGCCGCTGGGGCGAGTGGCTTATCCCCAATAAGCTCTGGAGCTAGTGCCGCGACCGCTGTGCTAATGGACTGAACTGCCGTGGCGACTCTAGAGGGAGCTCATGGAAGGCGCGCAGGGAGCAGTCTTTCCTGCATCCCCGCAGCTGCATCGTAACTTGGTAATTTGGCGGCCTGCACCTGCCTTGCATCTGCCTGCGCAAGCTACCGCCTCTCTACCTGGCAGGAATGTTGTTTGCCACTGTGGCAGTAGCATCAAGCGGTACCTCGCATGTAGCTAGTGCCCCTCCTCCACACCAGCCGACTCCTCTCGAGATAAGGTCCTTGTCTGATGTCTTAGCCCTGGCTGGTATCCATGATTCTGGGCTGCATCCTGGTCCGACAATCCCAACAGCTGCCTATCATAATATCCCATACGCCATGGACGGCTGGTCCGGACGTCATTATAAATGAGGGGAGAGCCGGCTTGTCTTGTGCCTCCTCGCGCGGACTCTCATTCATTCCAACATTGGCTTCTCCCCGGGGCTGAGCAGTGGTCTCTCCTTAAGCTGCTTTTTTGAGGAGTGTAATACAAATATATCCTCGTTAGTTATACCCACAGACACGACTCTCGGTTGAGACATACCGGAGCAGCTTAAAAGAAACACCAGCCCCTTGCGCCGGTCCACCACGTTGGTGCATCCTGCATCTTTCACCATGGCTCTCTATCGCTCATTTGCGGCCGCCGCTCTGCTGCTGTCTACCGTAGCCAATGCCATTGACCCTCCCCGGAATCCTTGGCAGCCAGTCGGTGGTGGCGAGCGTCTTCTCCAGTTCAACCAGACCATCCCCAGCCGAGCCATCAACGCCAAGAGCACTTCCGTCTCCTGGTCTGCCGCTGGCTCTGACGGGCAGTTCATCACCTCCAACAGCAACGGCGACCTCGTGCTCGAGGATATCGTCTCCGGTAACACGGAGACTTTTGTTACGGCCGACAAGCTGCCTTCTGACACCTATGAGACCTGGATCAGTGACGACACCACTCGTGTCCTCGTGGCCTCCAACTATACCAAGCAGTATCGCCACTCGTACTTTGCCGACTACTTCATTCTCGATGTGGAGAGCGGCGAATTGACCGCCCTCGTCGACGACCAGGTTGGCGATATCCAGTATGCCGTCATTGCTCCTTCTGGCGACAAAATCGCCTTTGTGCGTGGAAACAACCTCTTCCTCCGTGATCACGGCACAGGAGAGATCAAGCAAATCACCACTGACGGTGGCCCTGACCAGTTCCATGCGGTTCCTGACTGGGTCTATGAGGAGGAGATCTTCGGTACTACCAACACTCTGTGGTTTTCTCCCGATGCCAAGTTCATCGCATTCCTCAGCTTCAACGAGACTGGTGTTGAGACCTACACGATTCCGTACTACATGGACAACCAGAAGATTGCCCCTGTTTACCCCAAGGAGCTGGACTTGAGATACCCCAAGGTTGGAACCAAGAACCCCACGGTTGAACTCAACATTCTCGACGTTGAGTCGGGCGAATACAAGAATGTTCCCATTACAGCCTTTGAAGCCGAGAACCTCGTTGTTGGTGAGGTCGCCTGGGTCACTGACACCCACACCGCCCTCATCTACCGCGCTTTCAACCGTGTCCAGGACCAAGATAAACATGTTCTGGTTGACCCCACCACTCTTGTTTCCCAGGACATCCGCGAGCGTGATGGCTCCGATGGCTGGCTGGAGAACACGCTCAGCATTTCTTATGTTGGCGCCGTCCAGACAAACTCAAGCGCCAACGCAAGCTACTACGTTGACGTGTCCGATCAGTCAGGCTGGAATCACATTTACCTCTATCCCGTCCGCGGCGGCGACGCCATCCAGCTTACAGACGGCGAATGGGAGGTCGCCTCCATTCTCAAGGTCGACACTACACGCGGTCTGGTTTACTACACGGCAACCACACATCACCCGACTGAGCGCCATGTCTACAAGGTCAGCTTGAAGGACGGCACCATTACCCCTCTCGTCGACGACAAGGTCTCTGCCTACTGGTCCGCCTCCTTCTCCACCGGAGGAGGATACTACATTCTCAGCTACCAAGGGCCCGATGTCCCTTACCAGGAACTTTACGCCACTAATAGCACTTCCAAGCCCCTGCGAACCATTGAAGACAACGCCGCTCTATACAAGACGATTGCCGAGTACAACCTCCCGAACATCACCTACTTCGACCTTGAGCACCCCGATGGCTACAAGTTCAGCGTCAAGCAGCAGCTCCCTCCCAACTTCGACCCCTCCAAGAAGTACCCCGTTCTCTTCACACCCTACGGCGGACCCAACTCTCAGCAGGTGGTCAAGAGCTTCCAGGCCTACACCTGGAACCAGTACATCTCCTCAGACCCTGAGCTGCAATACGTGACTTTCACTGTCGACAACCGCGGCACCGGCTTCCGTGGCCGCGCCTACCGCTCCCTAGTCACCGGCCAGCTCGGCAAGCTCGAGCCCGTCGACCAGATCTGGGCCGCCGAGCACCTCGCCGAGCGCTTCAGCTGGATCGACATCAACAAGATCGGAATCTGGGGCTGGTCCTACGGCGGCTACCTGGCAGCCAAGACGCTCGAGATCAACACGGGCATCTTCTCCACCAGTCTCATCACCGCCCCCGTCTCCGACTGGCGCTTCTACGACTCGCTCTACACGGAGCGGTACATGAAGACCCTCGAGGACAACGAGGCGGGGTACCTCGAGACCCGCGTCCACGACACCAGCAAGTTCAAGACCGTCGCGGGGGGCTTCTCCGTCCTCCACGGCACCGGGGACGACAACGTCCACTACCAGCACGCCGCCGCCCTCATAGACCTCCTCGTCGGCGAGGGGGTCACCCCGGACAAGATGAAGATGTTCGCCTTCACCGACAGCACCCACGGCATCACATACAACGGCGCCTCCCTATACATTTACCGGTTCCTGACCGCTCGTCTCTTCGACGAGGTCAACCGCAAGGTTGACGCTACGGCTCTGGTCCACCAGTGGAGCAAGAGGCAGCTCGCCGCCCAGTAGAGAATTCGGGCGAGGCTTTCAATAAAATTAGTCTGTAACGCTTTTATAGTATATGAGATAATGAATCAACATAATGACCACATTTGATTTCGATGCCAACTACGTGATTTGTTGAGATGATGCTACCTCCTTTCATGATCCTTTGAACACTCCTATAAGAGAAGAAGGGTAGATGTACAAAGACAACCCTGAACTCCATACAATTACTGCCCCAACACCCTCGTCCAGTCATACTTCCTCCAATCCTTGGTAAACCTCTCCACGCGCGCGCCCTCACCACCAGCAACCCACCTCCCCTGCTTCTTGGCAATGTGCGGCTCAGCACCGACGATGCCCGCAATCACCTCGCGCGCAAAGATATCCCCCTTCGGCCACTTGCCGCCCCCGTCCTCGACGATATGGCCCAGCCCGCCGTCGAGCGTGAACCACACGTGGAAGTACGGCATCTCCTTGGCGATGCTCCGCCGGAACGCCGACCGGCCCATCCCCCCCGCCTCGGCGTTCTTCTGCGTGTCAATGACGGGCCGGTGCTGCGACCACTCGGCGTCCGACGACAGGAACGCCTCGCGGAAGTGCGCGGGGGCCATGGCGCCCTCCTCGTAGGGGATGGGCACGGCCGCGAGCGCCGCGTGCCGGTGCTGATGGGGGCTTGCGGCGTTCTCGTAGAAGACGACGTCGCGGCCCTGAGCGTGGTACATGCGCGTCAGGCTCTTCATGAAGTTGCGGAGCTCCTCCCACTCGTCGTCGTCGCACTCGAGGAGGTTCTTGCGGTGGGTGAGCGGCACGATGACGGCGCCGCCGGGGCTGACCTCGGGCTCGGTGGGGAGGGTGAGGAAGGAGCGCGTGGCGAGGGAGACGACGGGGGCGATGGGGGGCCGGCCCTTGTCCTCGTGGTGGCAGAGGGGGCACGAGTCGAGGATGCGGTTCACCTTCTGGAGCTCGCTGATGGCCATGTTCTTCAGGTTGGTCTCGTTCTTGTGGACTCGCTTGGCGAGCTTGGCCGCGTTGTCGTCCATGTAGTCCAGGTCATCGGTGTACTTGACATCCTTGGCGATGCGCTCGGCCTGCCGAAGTGCCTCCCCGCCAGCCTGGCCCTTGGTCCGCCTCTCCTCGCGCACCATGTCTTCAATGGTCATATCCTCGTTCTCCTCCACGTTGCCTCTCTCGCGGCCACGCCTCGTAGTCACTGCCTTGACCTCACCCCGAGTTCCGGCCAGCAGCCTGCTCTCCATCGCGCCGACAACCACCGCCTCAGGCGGTCCATTAGAGGCAAAGGCCGCCGCTGCGCGCTGGTATTCCTCCTCCAGTTGAGCTGCATTCGGGGCTCGTCGAAGCTTCGCCTTCATCATCTGTGCGCGCAGCCTGTTCAATGCAGTCTGGTCCATTGCCTGGGCCGCTGCCGGGACCTCATCTGGAATAATGGTTCCTTGCGTGGGCTTCTGCTGCCCGAGCGGTGTCTCTCCTTTGCGAATGTCCCGAACTCGGCTCTGGTATAAGTGTCCTGTAGGCTTCTCCTTGAGATCGTAGTCGGCGCCGTAGAGTCTTCTACGTTCCAACTCTTCTTTCTCCTCCCGCGCATCGTCAAAGTCTTCCAGATTCCCATACCTCTCCAAGGCGACATCTTCGACGGCCTTGCCGTCTTCCTCTGCCGCCGCAAAGACATTTCGTAGCTTCGCCATGCGCCATGAGGAGCCTTCGTCGCCAAACTTGTAATCAACTGTCCTTCCCCTCTTCCCTGGCGCGAGCTTCGCATCCAGGAACTCTTCGTCGTTTAGGTGCTTGTTGAGCTCTCGAGCATGAACCACGCGCTGAGGTCGAGGAGGCGACTTGGGCGGCGGCGTCTTTTGTATTGGTTGGTGTTTGTAATCGATTTCTATGGCCGACGGCGCGACCATCCACGAGTCTCTTGCGGCAGAGGATTTAGGCACATCAACTGCGTTCTCGCTCAAGGGCTTCTCCTCGTCGGGAATTGGAAGGTCCTCCTTGGGGTCGCTTGTCTTGTGTGAGTGGCGGTCCTCGTGCTGTCGGCGATCGCCCTCCTTCTCATGGTGATGCTCGCGCCGCGATCGCTTGCGTCTATGCTCATCGTCGTCGTGGTCGCGCTCTCGTCGGTGTCGATGTGAGCTGTGGCGGTGCCCGTCCTTGTCACGGTCCTCTCTGCGACGGTCGCTGTCGCCACTGTGGTGGTGATGGTGGCTTCGCCTGCTGCTCTTGTGCCCATCTCCGTCGCGGTCACGGTCGCGGTCACGATCGTTCTCCTCGTCTCGGTGCCGTCGATGGCGATGCTTTCGTTCGCGACGCTCCCCATCTCGATCTCGCTCAGCCTGCTCCGCGGCAAGGGATTTCTCGAAATCATCGAGACCTTCCATCTTGCTCACATCCATGATAGCGTATTTTAAGAGAGAGCTAGTGCTCTCCTCTCAACCAATGGGTGTATTTTTAAGGAAGGTTGCAGGATGCTTGGATGTGAAGCTCGTTACATTTACGTCAGATGTCCTTGCACTCTGAATCAGAAAAAAGCCACTTACCCTGTACGTAGCTGCTTCTTACCCCACAACACTTACAGTTTCTCCATCACAGCTTCAAGGTTATGGAATGCCACTGACATCAAGACGACAGCTTACTTTTGAATTTTACCATATTACATTAGATGCTATTCTATATTATTCTTGGAATACCAGGTCGCATCTTCAGATGCTGCAAATATCTAATTAACAGTATAGCACCTGTTCCATCTCCCAACACAAGTTCTAGATCCCAGCTCTTTTACACCCTATTTTCCACCTCGAAATCCAGGGCCACATTTTTGAAAAAGGAAATTCGTAGAAGCCACGTGCGTGTTGGCTCATATCATGAAGTTATCTTCCTGTAGTTGGCGATTTCGATTGAATGCCAAAAACTGGACCTTGGTCAACCACAACCCAGTGGCGAGTTGAATAAATGGGACAGCCATCTGCTGCCATCGTGGGCGCTTTGCCGCATACCTCTCGCAGTGTCTCTTGTTACTTTTGAGGCTGGGTCCAAGACGTATCGTTGTCCATTTTCGCTCCTTCAGCCGGCCGGCGTCGTCTTTCTTCTCATCGATGGAGACCAGTCCGTCGTCCTCGCTCTTTCTCTTTGCGGCCATCAGCGCCCGTGACTCTCATCCACTCATCCCACTCTTTGCTGATCTCCATGAGCACCGAGCCCATCACACTCGCGCTTGCCATCAGTCCGTGGCCCTCACCTTCGAGAACCCTGACCTCACACCTCCGCATAGACCTGCCAAGCCACCTGACATTGTCAACAGGGACACGAGTATCTTTGCTGCCGTGGTGGATGATAACAGGCCGGTTGATATCAACGTATCGGAAACCAATGGTGTGGCGGCGCTCCAAGCAGACTAATAAGTCAACTGCAGGGTTTGCTCCAGTGGTGGCAAGAGCCCATATGGCATGTGTTAATCGGATATCGTAAACCTGTTGACGCTCCGCGTCTGCAGCAGCATCCTCGTCAATTTCTTCTTGAGTCCGCATGTCCTCGCCTCGGTCTCCATCTGCAGCATTCCTATCGTGATCCACGGCACCTGTACGCTTAGATGCGTTTTCAACACCCCTCTTCGCCATCTCTGCTGCATCCTTTACAGCCACCCCGATATTTTCCTTGTCTGGAGGTAGAATTGTAGGAGCCGAGTTGTTCTCTCGGTTTTGAGATTTGCGTTTGGTCCTCCTGGGCGTCTTCGGCAACGAGGTTGTGATGGATGTGCTTGTGGCAGACATGAAGCTGCTGTTGGCCACCTTGAGCATCGGCGTTGGCAGGGCTCGTAGAATACGCTGCGAAGTTGGGATAGCATGAGTAGGTGGGAGAGCCTGTGATCCACCAAAGACATTCATCTGTGATGGAGGAATCCAAGGCGCCAGGAGGTGGATTCTGCCTCGAATGTGCTGGGGCATTCGGAGGGCAGTCGCCAGGGCATAGATTGCGCCAGCCGAGTGGGCAAGGATAGAGAATTTGGTGATTTTCAGAGCTTGACAAATAGCGTAAACGTCATCTAGAACGAGTAAATTAGCATCATCACAAGACAAGTACTAGACAGGGAGGGGACGTACCAGGCCAACCGAGCGGAGTGGTGCTTCCGTCTGCGTATGGCTCGCTCTCTCCGACACCAGGTCGGTCGGGAGTAATCAGACGGAGCTTCAACGTAAGGGCCAGCTCATCATAGAATGCCGTAATGTAACGAGTGAGCCCCATTCCTACACAGCAGAAGACAGCTGAGCCCTCCGGGTCGCCGACCTCTGAAAAGCATATAACCCTGCCCGTTTGAGGATGCCTGATTCTCTGGGTTAGCCGCGGTGAAGATAGATACGCCTCGACAGCATCATCAACAGAATCAGTCGAGTCCACTCGCTCCAAAGGAGCACCACCATCGGTATCCCTGTGTACATCAGTCGATGTCTTGCCATCAACAGCCGGACTCGTCGGCCGTGAGAGTCGTTTCAGCCTAGAACTGCTCCTCTTCCCTTTACCATCATCTGTAGCCGAATCTTTGTTCTGGTTCTGACCGGATCGGCGGCGGTTTCCATGCTCTAGGCTTTGATCAGATCGCCTCCGGCTCTGAGCCACTGCTGGATAAGGAGCGCCGTCTGTAGCATCCACACTGGCTCGGTGATTGTCGAAGGCAAGATAGTCGCTCCGGATAGTATCAAGGAATCGCTGTGTGGTAGGGGTCTCGACATTGTTTGCTCCGGCTGCCTCGCCTGGACCAAGGAGAAAGCTGTGGCCTGCCGATGAGGTGTTGATATCAAGCTGAGGAGGAGACTTCTTCGCAGATCCACGCTTCCGGCCTGAGTTGGCAGGTGTCTCGGTCGTGTTGCCGTTGGCTGCTGCCATCGGAGCAGTTGAATGAGCTCGCGGTTCACTACTGTGACTTCGTCTGCTGTCTCGCCTCGGAGGTGGGCTATTCATCTTTTTAAGACTTGAGTCCCGATTTGGGATGGGCCTAGGGCTTGCGGATACTTGCCGGAAGGCCGGCGAGAGGTTGTTAGCCATGGTCGGCTCTTCGCTGATTGCCATCTCAGCCAGGGAGGGGTCTGTTTTCGAAAGACTCTGGTTGCTCTTAGCCCCAGCGAGGCCCCCGCCTCCGTTGCTGTCCAGAGAACGCTTTCGATCTTCCTTTTCCCGTAGTCGTTCTCTGGAGCTCATGTACATCAAGCCTTTATAACTCCGGCCAGTCTTCTTTCCCCAGCTATCAAAAGACCGCTTATGATTGAGCTCCTGATCGACAGAAGGCGCCGGGGGACGTTCTATCGAGAGATTACCAATACTATGGGTGTCATCATTCTTGGCAGATGTCTTTGACGACGGTCGAGAGGGTGAATTAGAGCTGCTGCTGCGGATGAACGATCGCAACCCGCCGTCGCGGCTAGAGGCGCTTCGCGAGGATTTGGGACTTTTCGAAGCGTTGAGAGGAGAGTAGCCACTGGTAGGTTTGGAGGTGCGAACGATGGGAGGGGAGGCGGCAATCTCGTCGAGAGAGATGGGGCTTGATAACTCGGGGTAGCTTGGCTTTGAATATGCGCCGTAATCAACACCGAAACTGCCGCCAGAGGGGCCTCTGTTACTCGAGGAAGGGCGAGTGAGACCGGAGAAAGGTGCCGGCGGGGATGGTGTGCCCGAAGTAGCAGCCTCGAAATAATCGTCGGCAGGTTTCGCGATACCGCTCAAGCTGGTGATCAGACTTGAGATGACCTCAGGGCTGGCGGCAGGAGGTATGCTCTGGCGCTTAGCTGCAACACCGCCAGTAAAGGTGTGTTGGGATATGCGACGACGAGAAGCGGCGTGGTTCGTAGAGTTGTAGCGGGTTCGAGTCGGTATCGGAGGCGGCGTGTCGGAGGCAATAGACGAGGACGGATAGTGGTGAGGGGGGCGCTGGGAGCGGTGTTGCACATGGTCGACGTCCATGGCTGCAGTCTTCACAGGATTCTTCTGGCCACCGGTGAGCCGAGCTTCAGACAGAGAGGCGGTTGGGGGGCTGTGTGTATTAGGAGCGTGTCTCTAGTTGTCAGCCGCTAGTTTGGGTTATACTGGGCCGCCCCAATGCAGGAGGGAACAGAATGCGTCCCAATATGAACTGTCTGCCTGCAAGATGACAGTCAATTCCCCAGGCGAACCCTGCGTCGATGCGACTGGGTGTGTGGTGGTGCGCGGCAGGTGGTATTCGTGCAGCGCGATGCGGCGAAGGTAGTGGAGAGATCAAGGCCAGTCGGCGCAAAGCACAGATTGACACACAGTGGGAAGAAAAAAAAGCAACTAGGCTCCTGATCTATCTATTGACCGGTGGCGGGACAGTGTGACGGTCAAGGGCTGGCGCAGAATTAGCCCAGGCGAGGCATGCAGACTCGCATCGGGTCTATTGGCGATCAGCGCATTGGGCGATGGGAGGAGCGCGGGACGAGTACGGCGGCACGGCACCCCAGATGAGCTCAATGGGCGTGATGCTACGTAGTATGTATGCAGTGTGATAGGTAGGTCCGGATGGTCTCCTGGTGTGGGTGAGAGGTCGCTAGATCCAGATGGGTGGGCAGGCAAACGGGGGGGAGGAAGCGGCACGGGTTGTCTGTCGCAACAACAGCAAAAGGAACGAATGCTAGGATGCAAAAGAAAGAAAGAAATCTCGGGAGTGGATCAGAATCCCCAAAAATCGGATAGGCGCCAGCGAATTACGGCAATCATGGCAGGCCAACCGAGAGAGGTGAGGTTGTGATGGTTGGTGGGAGTCGACGGTGATATTGGGAAGAGGTCAAGGGGCTCGTTCGCCCAGATCAAATTAAGTTAAAGCGGGGCCGATGGGGCGGCGCAGGGCAATTGTGGGCACAGGAAGGCACGACCGTCGCTGCTGAGAACCAGTGGAACTCGAGACACTGCAGTGGCTTCTAGTGCACGCTTACAGACGGGTACTACTACCGAGGTCAGCCAGTTCCTGGTTCACAGACGGGTTGGATATTGTCGCACTGCGTGGGTAAGCGCCCTCCAGCTACGTGCATGCGTGTCTGTTCCTCCCGATATCGCCTATACGGAGGGTGGCATCCCTTTGTTTGCGCAAACCGCCGTCAAGACGCACACTGCGTTCGTACATGTGATGCGACGCAGGACCAGCCGTAGTGCGTTGTAGTGCAGGTTCCCCTAATGCAGTGCCTGGACCTGAATCCACCAGACGCTGTAAGGCACGCGGACAGAGGCACCATCCCCGCTAATTACTGGACAGGGCCGGCCCTCGATCCATCCTCCCCGGGATCAGCTCGACAAACCATCTTCACTCACAGCTGTGAACTTTGTGAAATGCGCCGGTGCCAAACACGGCAATCAGTCGTATTACCGGCATGAAACGTACTGGCGCTCTTACGTTACGCGTCGTCTGTTGTGTCCCCCGGGCGCAAGCATGACCAGTTCTGCCATCCTGTGTCCTTACCCCTCGGAGGTTCGTGAGGAAAGTTCGGCCTCGCGGGAGCAGTATGCATCCACTATACGTAAGTGTGCAGGTTGCGCGGTTGGGCAAATTACTCGATAAAAGACAGGACAGGGGTCCAGGGTGACAAAAGGGGGTCCCCTCACCCGCCTTCACGCAGCGCTCAGGGGTATGGCCACTCTCTGTGATAGTAATGCTTGCCAGCCAAAGGATGACATTGTTTCAATTGCTGGGCATGGCGGCAGGCAGAGCGATAGTCTGCCTCGGTTTATCCAATCATGCCGAGTATGCTTCAAGCGACCAAAAGCAATCCCAGTTATTGAGAGTGACCTATCAAACTACTAACTGGTATCTCCCTGACGACGGGACCATGTGCTTTCGTTTTAATTCCCTCCACGAGTCAGAGCCACGGACGATGCGGATCCTGGGGACACAGCAAAGTTGAGCAGCGAGGGAACCGGTGATTAATAATAAGCAGACGGAAAAAGCAATGTGAGAGAACACAGAAGAAAAGGAGTCCGGAGATCAGAGCCCCTGCTTAGTGCCACGATACGATGCCACCAGCTGCCCGAGACCGACCAGCTGGTCATAGCGTTCTTGTGCAGGCACTTTGTCGATCATTCATGTGGAATACGCTCCAGAACATTACCCCGTTGCTAGTGCGACTCGTGCCTGGGCGTTGCAAAGTTAAAGCGAGGGTTTCCAAGAACGTTTTGTCATGAGCCAATCTTGAAGGTAAATCTTATTACGTCGATATCGATACTGTTGATAGGTACTAGGTAGCTAGCAATCCCAACCGGGTGCCATCAATTTCCGTGGCTTGCATATGCAATGCACACCGACATATACATGCATGTCTACCTACCTCTCTCGCCTGTAAATATACAGCCAGCGAAATACATACATAACAAGATTAGCGGCAATCTCCTCGGAAAATAAATTGGTCGAATGAGAAAGCAGTTGTATATAGCCCTCTCACGATCACATGGATAGCCAGCATCCACGGATAAAGCCGTCAGAAACCACAACCCGGGGCACCTCCCATCAAGGCAGGATATTAAGAGTCAAAGAAGATTATTGCCATCGACCATTATAGGAGGCACGGCAGGTGGTAGGTATATCCATTCAATATTATCAGCATGCGACTGTAAAGTCAGTTGTCTGATTCGGCATATATCTTATCTTCTTATCTTATCGGAACTACAGCCTCACCTCACGTCAAAGAAACCCAAGCGACCACAAAAAGCACAACTATACAAAGAGCAGAACAGCAGAAACAAGCAAGTAAAAGGCAGCTCGCCTTTCTCTTCCATTTTCCCTTTACCCCTCAGGGATCCTCTTCCAGCAGGGTTCAGTATACCCCATCAGCAAGAGCAAGCTGACTTGCGCAAGATCGCGTTTTGATGGATGCATCAACGACGTCATCGCCCGCCAACGTCATACTCCCACCAGTCACCCACCAAGTTTCGCTGATGGATGCACCTTGTTCTCACTCCCCTCCAAGTGTATATATTCCTACGTAGCGAACCAATTGAGTACCCAGATATGCTTTCTTTGTGCCCGGTCCCCAGAAACCTACCTTACGATTGTATCTAAACCACGATACCTGCCAGCAGTTATCTACGATGGGACAGTAAGACAACACTCGAATTATCAAGCAAAACCCTCCATCGTATCATCCCGTCGAAATACACATCTTCGCCATGGATGTCCTCCTCTCCATCCCCCTCGTCTCAACCATCTTCACCCCCTCGTGGTCGACCTCCATCAACATCCTCTTCTTCTACGCCACCTGGTCCACCCTCGTCCTCACCCACGATGCCGCCGTCATCCACGCCACCGCGCTCTTCGTCCTGCGCATCTTCCTCTGGCTGATACCGTCCCTCCTCTTCCTCGCCTTCGACACCCTCTTTCCAGGCCTCGCCGCCTCCATCAAATTTGCCGGCGCCGCCTCTCTCCCCCGCCGCCCGCTCCGCCTCCTCGCCCTCGCCGTCTTCAACATGCTCCTCCTAACCGCCACCGAGGCCGGCCTCACCTACGCCTTCCACTACGCGACCTCGAAACCCCTCTTCCGCACCTCCACCACCCTGCCCCTCCCCTGGCAGGTCTTCAAGCACGTCCTCATCCTCTTCTCCGCCCGCGAGGGCCTCACCTACTACACCCACCGGTTCCTCCTCCACTCCAACTCTCGCTCCCCCTTGACCACCCTCCACCTCCGCTACGGCCACGCCAACCCGGCCTGCTCCCTCAACCTCTACGGCGACCACCCGTTGCCTCTGCTTGTCCTCAACCTGATACCCGTCCTCCTCCCGTCCCTGATCCTGCGCCCCCACCTGCTCACCTACATCCTCTTCACGGCGCTGTGCACGGGCGAGGGCACCCTCGCCAACTCGGGCTACTCAATCGTACCCGGCATCTTCCTCGGCGGCATCGCCCGCCGCACCGCCGTCCACTACGCGAGCAAGGGGAAGGCCAACTACGGCGCCTGGGGGTTCCTAGACTGGGTCAACGGCACGAGTCGGGGCGGGGACGTCCTCGAGGACGTGAAGGACGAGGCGGAGAAGCACCATCTCAAGGAGCGGTCGTCGAAGAAGGTGGATGAGGGGGCTGGGTTGATCCAGGATGGGATTGATGCGTTGACGAACGGGACTGGGACGAGGCGGAGTACTAGGAAGAGGACGCCCAGAAAGACGGGTTGATTCTGTTTTCTGTCTTCAAGTTGTTTCTACGTCAAAGGCGGGTTTTGTTCATGATGTTAGCTAAAGGAAAAGTTTGGAAAGAGGCGATAACAAGCTCGTTCAAAAGTGTTTGGAGGAGCCAAGAGGGTTCCGGAGTCTAGCGTGTGCATTTTATCCTGTATAGTCCCTATTCTTTTCTCTACAGACAAAAATATAGTCGTGTACTTAGTGAATATGCCCAATATATCATCAACTTCATATGCAAGCTGTTCTCTATAGATGTGCCGGTCTTTCCCATTTTCCCAAGATAAAATTCCTTTATGCCCAACCGTTTTTTGTCTTGAACCACTTCAGCGTCTCCATGCCGCTCTGCACGCGCAGACCGATGCGAAAGTCCAGCGAAAATGCCTCCCACCCCATCGCCTTGGTTAGCTGCGCCTCGCACTCCTCGGCCTTCCTCCGACGGTACAATGCAACGTCCGACTCGCCGGCCGGTGGATCGGCGCAGCATTCTTCCCAGGCGATGGCACCAAGCTCATATGTGGCTGCGGGGAGGACATAGTCGTTCTTTGTGGGGCCCTTGAAGATAGATCTAATGAAGACGTTGTTAGATGGATAAACAGAGATGTAGTGTGTGTTAGAACTTACGGATCATGGGGTATGATGTTCTCGTCAAGCAGGCTCCTAGCCTCGTCAAACTTGCCCTGGGTCCTCTTAATGGTGGACATGCACAGCGCCCAGCAAGCCAGCTCATCCTGCTCCGTCCGAATCGTTTCGACCACCTTATCGGACGTGCAGCGTTCCCACGAGAGGCACGGGATGCAGTTCTCGAGCTCCTTCTCACCCATGCGCCGAGTGCCGTTCCACATGTAGCACAGCTCCATCGCCGGGCTCGTGCCAACGGCGTCTGCAAGATCAACCTTGAGGGCGGCAGCTCGCTCCTCCCAACGCTTGATCTTCATCAGCAGAAACGCCTCAAAGGGCAGCTTCCTAGCCATGAACTTCTTTGCGCCCGTCAGCGACGGGGCCTTGCGGATGAACGCCTCCGCCTTTGCCTTTTGTCTCCTCGCCTCGTGTGTGTCACCGCCATGGTGAGCATCACGATATAGCTCCAGGGAGGCGCACCCAGCTGCGAAATAATACATTGCCGGACTCCATTCGTTGTTCTCAAGACACCGAAGAAAGCTATCCCGCATCAGGTTCCAGTCCTGGGCCAGGAGAGCGTCGATAGAGAGCTCGAAATCGTTGAGCGCAGTCACCTGCTTCATCTTGGAGGTAGGCCCCGACGAAAGCACCTCGATGGCCTTGTGCAGCTGACGCTTGTGGGTGTAGAGACGAGCCTCCTCGACACGCCAGAGCCTCGACTCGGGGTATCGCTGTCGCATGGTTTTGAGCAACCTTTCGCACTTTTCCGAAGGGGGCCCAACGGTCTGAGCGGTCTCGTCAAAGTCCCTTTCGTGGGGGAGGATGTCCACCGTGCCCAGGATGCCATTGTAGAAGCCAAGGAGGACCATGGCAGATACAGCGCCAAAGATGTTGTCATACACGGTGCTTTCCCACAGCATGCGGACTCCCCTTGTTCGATCACCCTGGAAGCCTACAACAGACAGCACGCGGCCGAGGGACGGGGGGATCAGGGTCAAGAGCAGCATCATGGTGCCAAAACCCATGTTGGCGCCAGAATGGACAAAGACATCCATGGGATCTTCCAGACTGAGACCGCTCATGGCCTCAATATCCTTGGCTGACAGCTCGCCGGGCTTGCTGTCCGTATTGATTCCTAGGGTGCTGGGCTCCGGTGTCGTCAGGGCCGTCGACGCCGCTGGTGTCTGCAATCCAGAGGGTGCCTCCTTGGCATCAATAAACTCGTCGGAGCTAGAGTCATCACTCTCCTTCTTGGCGGGGCCTCCCTCAAACTCCGCCATATCATCATCAAACTGGCCGGGCATATGATCAGGGCCAGGTGGTGGTACAGCCGCAGCAGCCTGCTGGTCCAGCCCAAGAGCCTTATTCTCGGCCGCAATGATGCTATCAAGCGCCACGTAGGCCTTGCGGAGCTTCAGGAAACTCTTCATGGCCTCCATCAGACTCTCCTGCAGAACACCGACGACGGCACCCATCAGCAGCGTCTGCGACCTCACCAGCTCGTACTCGGCGCCCGGCTCATAGATACTTCCCTCCCGTCGACCCCGCTTCTGCGCCGTCCGGATCTCATTGCCGCACTTGGTCTCGCAGTCGTAGAGCATATCCAGCGTGTCCGTCATGACCTGCTTCTCCATGCCCAGAACGGAGCGCAGGAAGAAGGTGACGGTGGAGCCCAGGCTGTGGAAGACGGAATCGCCCTGCTTAAGGGCGGCGTATGCACCATCAAGGTCATCATTCATGATGAGCTGGGCATGCTTCATCGCATCAGCCAGGTCCTCGAGATTCTTCTTCTCGGCAGCTGCAGCGGCCGCATTTTCCGCCTCAGGGTCGCTCTTGACGCTGGACCGCAGCCAGCCTCCAAATCGGCTCATGATAGCGACAGTAATTCGCAAATGACCGCCTCAATTGACGGAACGACCGGCACGGGGATGAAGGGTGATGAGAGAAGGAGTGCGGAACAGAGATGCTGACTCGCTGCAATTTAAGCCGTGTCCCTGTGATCCTTCGTCCAGGCTTCTTTTATAATACCCGAGAGCTGCAGGAGGACCAATTTCTCCTGCTTGAATCGTTTGGCTGCACCATGCAGTGTCGCTCTCGGTGCTTAGGAGGGATCAATCAATCCCGACTCCCCATCGGTAACGGTTTCGGTTTTTTCTTGCCTAATCAACGGCTCCTCGGAGACAAAAAATGGCAGACTTGCCACTTATGGGGGAAACTAAGGTGAATAGAGTAAACCTAGATCTGGCCGATTGCAGCGCGGGTGAGGGAACAAAACAGCGGAGCGTTGGTTCTGACTTAGACCTCGAAGCCACTCTTCTCCCAGGCGTCCCACAATCTCACACTTGCGCCCGTAATGTATCTCTGATATCCAAGGGAGAAATGAGGCTTAGCTGTGCCACATGCCCCAACGATTGGATCTCACATCAGCCTGTGCAAATCATCCAATGAGCCGCTGTCTCCGCACTGCGGCATGGAATGCTCTGCCACTAGCGAACCCCAACATGCAACATGTCCCGGATTGTGTTGGCCGGATCTTGCCTTGACGGCCGATTGATAGGTGCAGCTTGGAGCTTTCCATTTCTCACCAACTAGCTGTAAAAATCAGGTTGCTAGCATCGTCAATTCGTAGTTCGTTTGAGCGATTCATGCAAGATGCGGTAGGCACGGACATCTCCAGCATTCCACTGGGCGTCGTATAGGGTAGGCCCAGCTCTGGGCGTCGACGACACATCGCTGCCTTCCAGTATTACATAACCAACGCCAACCGTCTGGCAAAGAGACAGCTCCGATCACCAACAACGCCGCATCCCGCTCTCCCCAACTCTCCATTCCCATAAAGAGCACACAAATCTCTCGCAATCCAACCTCCCAGAACGAAAGATACCATCACAATCGACACCATGGCATCAGAGACGACCAAGCCCGCCGAGACGGCCGCCGCCCCCGCGGACCAGAAGCAACAAGAGCCCACCAAGCCCACCGTCCTGGGCGAGGACGACGAGTTTGAGGATTTCCCCGTCGACGGTACGTCCTCCCAATGGAGGGGAAGCTCCCAATTACACCTGAAACCTTCCTTGCCTCGATGATCTCATTTCCCCTTGGGCGGCTACTCAACGCCCGCCCGAGAAAGCTTCAGAGAGAGAGAAAGGGAAAATGCTAACGAGGTCCATTGCGACAATGCTCCAGACTGGCCAGACAACGAGACCGAAGCCGCCGCCCAGGCCGCCAGCGGGGGCGAGTCCTCCAAGCACCTCTGGGAGGAGAGCTGGGACGACGACGACACGAGCGACGACTTCTCCGCGCAGCTCAAGTATGTTGACCAGCGTCCTTCACCTACCCAACACAGCTCCCAAAGCCGATGCCTATGATTCGTTACCGCTATGCTAGACCGAGATGTGCTGACCAATGGATCTTCTTATAGGGAGGAGTTGAAAAAGGTTCAGGAGTCGAAGGGACGATGAGCGAGCGGACGGGAGAGCGAAAGTACACAAATGACTAGGATGAAACAAGGGAATTCGGGTTTCTTTTTTGAAGTTTCAACGATTCAATAGACGAGAGATAATGACTACGATCCTCAGCCGGCATGCATGGGTGATAAATACATTCTTCATGCCTCCTTGAGAAAAATGAACGCCCCGATACAAAACAGCTGCTACAGAGTCCGTGATGTCTCATGTGTTGGTCTACGCCACGTCTTTCCATCCACGGGATAGATGTCATCGAGCAAGGCAAGGATGTTTATACGGTTATCATTTTTGCTTTATTTTTTTTCTACATATACTTCATAATAGGGTGTGTTCCCTCTTGCGAGTGCTATCAGCGATTGCTACAGACTAGCCTTATCTTGCCGACCTTTTGATTCCAGCCATCTAGTCAACAAGTCTTCCCTAGATGGAAGAGTACGCTTACTTACTCGACAGGGCAGTAATACCGGGCAGCTCCTTGCCCTCGAGAAGCTCCAAGCTGGCACCACCGCCGGTTGAGACGTGGCTGAGCTTGTCCTCGACACCGTACTTGGCAGCGACAGTAGCGGTGTCACCACCACCGATGATGACGATCTTGCCGTCCTTCTGGACACCGTCGACAACGGCATCCAGGGTGGCCTTGGTGCCGGTGGCGAACTTGTCGAACTCGAACACACCGGCAGGGCCGTTCCAGAGGATGGTCTTGGACTCGCTGATGGCCTCCTTGTAGAGCTTGATGGACTCCTCGCCGCAGTCCAGACCCATCCAGCCGTCAGGGATACCCTCGGCATCGGTGGCCTTGCCAGTGTTGGCGTCCTTGTCGAACTTGTCGGCAGTGATGTAGTCGACAGGCAGGACAATCTTGACGTTCTTGTCCTTGGCCTTCTGCACAAGAGACTCAACAGTCTTGGCGCCAGCCTCGTCGAAGAGGGACGAGCCAATGGCAACGTTGTTGAGAACCTTCTTGAAGGTGAAGGCCATACCACCACAGATGATGAGAGTGTTGACCTTGTCGAGCAGGTTGTCAATCAGCTGGATCTTGTCGGAAACCTTGGCACCACCGAGGATGGCAAGGAAGGGACGCTGAGGAGACTCCAGGGCCTTGGCAAAGTACTCGAGCTCCTTCTTCACGAGGAAACCAGAGGCCTTCTGGGGCAGGTCGACACCGACCATGGAAGAGTGGGCACGGTGAGCAGTGCCGAAGGCATCGTCTGAGAAGAGGGAACTGGTAAGGAACTTGCTTTGTGGAAAAAGGGGGGGTTATGGTAGACTTACTGACGTAGACGTCACCGAGGGCAGTGAGGCCCTTGCGGAAAGCATCGACTTGGGCCTTGTCGGCCTTGACCTTCTTGCCCTCAGCGTCCTTGGCGCTGCCCTCCTCCTCAATGTGGAAGCGCAAGTTCTCGAGAAGGATAACCTCGCCGTTGTCGGCCTTGTTGACAATGGCCTCAACCTCGGGGCCGACGGAGTCGGGGGCAAAGGTAACGGACTTGCCCAGGAGCTTCTCGAGGACGGGGACGACGGGCTTGAGCGAGTACTTGGGGTTGACGGCACCGTTGGGACGGCCAAGGTGGGACATGAGAATCACTGCCTTGGCGCCATTGTCGATGGCGTACTTGATGGTGGGGAGAGCACCGACGATACGCTGGGGGTTGGTGACGTTCTTGTCTGCGTCCAGGGGGACGTTGAAGTCGACCTAGAAAGAAACGAGAGGGTTAGCAGCTGGCGCGGACGAAAGCGATCCTTTGTGGCGTGCCACCGAATATTACAACATGGCTCTCCTTCCAATCCGTTTGCCAATAATCCGAGCGAGGAATTCCTCAGTTGGAAAATACGAATGGTCAAAGTGGCCATGTCGTCGTGGGCAAGCAGGCCACCTCCCCCACCATGACACCATGGTGATGGAGGGGCAGACAGCAACAAGCGATGGAGGGGTAGTAACAGCACTCACTCGGATCAGGACCCTCTTGCCCTTGACGTCAACGTCGGCGATGGAGAGCTTGTTGGACAGAGACATGTTTGCGATGTAATTAACGCAAAAAAGGAATTGGATTCTTGCGTAGGTAGGAGGTGAGAGGGTGGTTGGAGGAGGAGAAGGAGAAGAAAAAGAGAAGAGGCTCGTCAGGCCATGGTGGGGAAAAGAGCGCAGCTACATGCCTGAGCTAGTGGCAGCTGTTGGCGATAGACCTCCCCATAGGCCGCTGCCCCCGGCCGCGGGAGTTGATGCCAGTGGGCTGTTACAGGTGCTGTGGTGGGGGGAACAGCTGAGGCGCGTCACACCTGCGCCGCCCATCAGTAGATGTCGTACGGGCCATCCACAGAGGTTCACATCTACTGGCCGGGAGCGTGCACAACCTGGAACCGGAGACAAGGAACTGCTACCCCCGCCCGATTAACATGAGCAACCTCAAGCCAACCCTCACATGATTGGCCTCGTTGCGCCATACCGCCCTCCGGATTCTGGCGACGGACGGGGACTTGGATGGGCGGCCAAGCATGCAACCGAGGGCACGAGCTTGTCCCGGAGCAGGTTTACAGAACAGAGCTAAATTCAGCCGATAGGCCACACCATGCGCACTATGCATGAGGCGCAGGTCTGGCCGTTCAACTACCTGTGTACTAGCAATACGATTAATAACAGGCGTAGTCTATAGCAGTGGTACCAAATACAATATTCAAAGTGATCGTTCTATGTCTGCGGGCGAGACGCCCATCAAGTGCTTTTCCCAAACAGCTAATTCTAGAAAACCGAGCCAAACCTCTTTGGATTGACCTAGTCCAAAATCCAGACTCATGGCATTAAAAATAAGAAACCCAATCATAGACCTGACGCCAGACTGCAAGCACGCATGATAACAAAAATAACATCCAAGACGGGACAGGAGGGAGCATCGGTAGACGCCCTACTTCTCCATTTCAACACCAAGCGACGTCCCTTATCGCAATAGCTGTATGTATAACTACGACCTCCGCCACCGGACCAGGGTTGGAATCGAAATCATGATATTTTCATCGGTTTTAGTCGGAAGAGGTAGTAAGGGAGAGATATGCGGTCCATGCAATACCAACAGTAGATACAAAAGGCTGGAAAGAGGTCAGTGACTGGACAACACTTCATCGATACTGAGATACTCACAAGTTGGAACTGAACTGGCATCAATCGGAAGTTGACAATCTGAACAGCGGGCCACACGATGAAGTTGGCCTTGAGAGTTGGGATATACATGTCCTGAAGCTTACGGGCGACGGCCCTCCTGCCGCCTCCCTCAGCCAGAGTCATGGATGTGAAGAAGACGAAGAGACCGAATGGTGCAAAGATGAACTGATCAAAAGCAACACGCTTCATGGCGGGGCCAAAGGCACTGGTCTTGGTGATGGGGAAGGTCTGGCTGAGGAAACTGAACCACTTGAATTGCACAGGGGCCATGCAGAAACCATAGGCCATGAAGCGAGTCAGGCGCTCGAAATCGAAGCCGGTCGGCGAGGCTCTGTAGTCGAGGGCTAGGCCTTGGTCTAGGAGGCCGCTGTTGTTCTTGTTCTCGAGTTCGATATCGATACGCTTGTTGACATTGCTTGGCTTGCGAAGGGCTTTTTCGCGGATAGCGCTGATAGATTGGGCGACAGTGTCGGCGATTCCTCCCAGAATAGCGTTGGTTACCATCATGGTCATGACTATTTTGATGGGCTAGGTCAGTAAATGAATCGATGAGGGAGATGTGTTCTGGAGGTCGTTGGGTAGTCATACTTGGCCGTTCATCATAATATGAATTGAACCTCGCGGTGAGGCGAGCAGCAAGTGCCATTTCGATAAAAAAGATGATGGTGTGCAGGAGCGGCTGTTAAGGAGAAATTCTAATTAGTAAACTGACACCCTAGCGATACGGGATTGAGAAGGTGAAGGTGTGATAAGGGAGGACGATTGGAAAGGGTTCAGATAGGGCATGATCGCTCGATGGTGCTGATGTTTCTGGCTCTGATCTGGCCTAATGCGGGTGGGATGCGGGATCGGGGCTGCCATGAGTCGCCGGGGGAGGAGAGGACCACGTACAATGCGACCGAAGATGTATTTCTCATTGATGGTGCGCGAGATGCGTCGCCGGTTGAGTTCCCAAGTCATGCTGGCGGCGGTATCCTATCGACTCGATTATGTGTCTTGGTAGTGGAGAGGAAGGGAGGTCGCAAGCGAGCGCTGGGCGTGCGACTGGGGAGCAGGGAAGAGGAGCCTCGAGCCCTCGATCGATGACGAAGAGTAGGGGGCGCTAAAGAACTGCCGAGGACACCGGATCGTGCTGGCCCCGGGGTTTCGCAGAAGAATGGACTGTCAATACGGGAGATGTAGTTATCGGGGAGTCGACTCGAGGACGGCGAGAGCGAGGTGTATTTGACGGCGAGTGTGAGCAAAATCGAGACGGATGGAGAGAGGAGGTTTCGCAGAAAGTGTGTTGCGTGACGGGGGTGGATTATCGCCCATCCATGATCCAGGGATGTGACTGACACTTTGAAGGCAGTGCAGCACCTGACCTTGCACTCTCTGTCCTTCTGGGGGGGGGAACTACTGGGCCTACGGGGGTCTGTGAGGGCCCTTTTGGCGACTGCCTGCCTATGGCGGCATGGATTTAACCTTTTAGGGGCGCTTCACTCCACTAGAAACCCACCATGAGTTGGGGTCTGGCAGCCATTGAGGCTTCCCCGAAGTCCCGAAGTCGGGGCCGTTTCCATTCCACCCTTCCATCTGTTCTCTCATCCTTCAACGTCCTCGACCCCTGCTCAACGTTTACCAGCCTACATCAGACCGAGAAACAATCCTCTAGAGGGCGAGAATCTGCCACGGGCTGCATCCATCTCCTATCACGCTGCTGGCCGACTTTCATAAGTAGGGTGAGCGATGCTACGCATTTGGTAGA